GAGAGCGCGCCACGAATTAACCGTCTCGGCCTTGGCTTTAAGGTTGTTCGTTAATTTTTAACAAAAGGAGCGGCAAAATTCGAAGGGAGTTGCATGCAAAGGAAGCGCCTGCGAAGGGGAATTAGGGGCTTCAAATTTGAAAAGATTTCTTGTTGCAAAAGTTAATTTCGTACAGTAGTTTTGAGTGTAAACTACAAAAATGTATACTCCGCGTACAATGTTTTGACCCCCCTCCTAACTCGGTCCAAAGTGTACTAATTCGGACCAAATTTGGCATGTAGTATACTCACAGGCTAGTAACAAAAAATAACATAGCAGGACATACCTTATAGTTGAATTTCAAAATCTATGGGCAATTTTCAAAAATCACCTTAAAAAATCGAGGAAAAAGTTTTGACCCCCTTTAAAAAAAAGTGGGTCTATGTTTTTTACATAGAAATAAAAATGCTTTTTGTTAGAAAACTTATTTTTAGAAAAAATGATTTTTTTCATAGAAAAAAACATTTTTATTTTAGAAAAGAATGGTTTTTCCTTAGAAAGTGCAATTTTTAGTAAATTTGTTTATAATAATAACAAAAATTGATTTTAAACAGTAACAAGTAGTGAATTTTGTTAAGTAGTAGGGTAAAATAGTAAGAGTAGTAACTTTTTGGGTGAATATTGGGGACTGGGGTATTCGATGGTGCTGATTTCGAAAACATAGTTTGTTTTTTGTGATTTTGACTTTTTCTTAAGTAGTACTGTAAGTTAGTAGAAATTTTGAATTTTTTATTAATTGTTGAATTGTTTAATTGAATATTCTTTCTGGTTCGTCGGAATTTGTCTAAAGATATACAAGGGTTAACCCAAGTAGGAGCAAGAAATCGATTTCAATCGACGTTGAGGCATAAACAATACAAATTGTTACTAACTTACTGTACTACTTAAGAAAAAGTCAAAATCACAAAAAACAAACTATGTTTTCGAAATCAGCACCATCGAATACCCCAGTCCCCAATATTCACCCAAAAAGTTACTACTCTTACTATTTTACCCTACTACTTAACAAAATTCACTACTTCTTACTGTTTAAAATCAATTTTTGTTATTATTATAAACAAATTTACTAAAAATTGCACTTTCTAAGGAAAAACCATTCTTTTCTAAAATAAAAATGTTTTTTTCTATGAAAAAAATCATTTTTTCTAAAAATAAGTTTTCTAAGAAAAAGCATTTTTATTTCTATGCGAAAAACATTTTCCCAAAAAAAGTTAGATATCGCCAGCGGATGCCACGCAAACCTATTGTAATCGACGTCCCATACCTGAATACAGGTTAATAAATGGTTTTCCGTTGAATGCTTCGTTGCATTTGAGGATTCAACGCGTTAAACCGTTTTTGATGTAGAGGTGCCCAAAATGGTAAAAATCTTGCCCTAGCGTTTTCCAAGAGCTCTAAATTGGGTTTATATTTTGTGATTTAGACCTGTATTTACCTTCTCCTTTCGATAAAAGTGCATGGTGGCCTGGGAGTGTAGATTCGGCAGATACCCTCTTGTCATGCCCAGCCTTGGTGAACCATTTGCTCTTTGACTCAAGGTCGAGATGTGGTCGTTAGGTCCTCAATGTAATCCTGAGACTCCTATTTACTCTCAAACAAAGAATAAACTCCCGCTGACACGGTCTCGTATGGTTTGCAGGCGCAACTTCGCCGATCTGCGCCTTAACGAAAAACCAGCGTTTTTCAAATGGATTTTTAGCCACCAAAAACGGCTTTCATTTGATGGACCAGGTAATTTAAGACGCTACAGCACCCACCATACTCATTTGAGACGTATGAAACGCCAAATGGGAGGTGGGGATGTCATCGTACTCGGGGTCATCTACAGTAACGGCAAACTTAAGATTAAGGTGAATGAAACCCATTACAAAACGTGTCAAATCAAAACATTTTACATTACTGAGAGTAAATATGAGTCTCAGGATTACATTGAGGACCTAACGACCACATCTCGACCTTTAGTCAAAGAGCAAATGGCTCAACAAGGCTGGGCATGACAAGAGGGTATCTGCCGAATCTACGCTCCCAGGCCGCCATGCACTTTTATCTAAAGGAGAAGGTAAATACAGGTCTAAATCACAAAATATAAACCCAATTTAGAGCTCTTGGAAAACGCTAGGGCAAGATTTTTACCATTTTGGGCACCTCTACATCAAAAACGGTTTAACGCGTTGAATCCTCAAATGCAACGAAGCATTCAACGGAAAACCATTTATTAACCTGTATTCAGGTATGCGACGTCGATTACAATAGGTTTGCGTGGCATCCGCTGGCGATATCTAACTTTTTTTTAAGGGGGGTCAAAACTTTTTCCTCGATTTTTTAAGGTGATTTTTGAAAATTGCCCATAGATTTTGAAATTCAACTATAAGGTATGTCCTGCTATGTTATTTTTTGTTACTAGCCTGTGAGTATACCACATGCCAAATTTGGTCCGAATTAGTACACTTTGGACCGAGTTAGGAGGGGGGTCAAAACATTGTACGCGGAGTATAGCTTTAAACTTGTTTTGCTTCATTTCTTGTAGGAAAGCGTTCTTCATGTGAAGAGAACTTGGCCTGAAAAGAGGTTTCAGACCTTTGTAGACGGTAATGTTTCCACAAAAAATATTTTTAGGGCAAAGACGCGCCGAAAACGTTTTCTTCTCTCTTGATTTTGCTGCGACACCATTAATTTTCTCGGCGGCGATGCGATTTTCCATGCAACATTTTGCTCATTATTTTTTCGACAGATGATATAATATTAGCTACCGAAAGACTCCAAAAAATTGTATTTTATTGTTCGGTAAGCCCAATTTACTGGGGTGGCCTGTTTCAAATTTGCTTTGGACTGGCCTGGGAGCCATTTCTAATCTGATAGCGTATCTTTTCAAAATTGAGCACTCTGGTAAAGGCTTACTCGGCAATAAGGTAAAATTTTAGTGACTTTTCAGTGGCTAATGTCAGTCTGTCGGGAAAATAATGACCACTCTATCGGATCGAAAATCGTATCGCCGCCGAGAAAATTAATTGTATCGTGGCAAAGTCAAATTTCTTTTCACCTCAGCGATGCAATCGGCGAAGCGATTTGCTCACTATTTTCCCGACAAACAGATATTTTGCCTTTTTTTGCGCGATGCGTTGGCCATATTAAACCCTTCTGCACTTTACAGTGACACACCAAAGTTAGCGGGTTTCTGCAGAAAATTCGAAAAGATTTTTTCTGGTTTGAGTTAATTTCCTACGGTAATTTTGGGTGTAAAGAACAAAAAAGTAATTCTGAACTTGTTTTCGCTTCATTTTTGTATGCAAGCGGCCTACTTGCGGGCTATTTTTGTTTGAAACGAATTAGACGAATTATTTATGACTCGCGGATCCACCATAACTTTGCGGGGCTAACGAACCGTATAGCGTCTGAAATTCCCAAAAGGCCGGGGCGAAACGGCTAGGGCTTTGACGTTCGCAAGGGGTGGTCTCGGTAACCTTCCGATGTTGGGGTATCATTCTGTCGGGAAAATAATATGGATTTGTTGCAGCGAAATTTCTCGCCTCACCGTAATCGAATATAAAATTTCCAGAGAGACGTCGAGGATAGTTTCCAATGCTCGACAAATCCACATTATTTTCCCGACAGATTGATTATTCTATGTAATTGGAACGTATCATAATACAGTGAGGGACCTGATCCAGTTGCAAAAAACGTACCATTTTGCATCCGGGAAGCATCAAAAATGTGGCAAAATGTTCCCCTCTCCAAGTGAAAAAAATTCTTTTTGAAGGGCGCGTCCTTTTTCCTCACTGGCGCGTTTTTGAAATCTGGGTTTTTTCACTTGGAGAGGGAGGTATTTTGCCACATTTTTTGATGCTTCCTGGATGCAAAATGGTACGTTCTTTGGCACTGGATCAGGTCCCAACTGTGTATGTATATCTAATGAAATTTTCAAAGGTTAACCACAGCGTTTTCCTCCTTATTTGGGCCTCACAAGTTCGTAGATTTGTATCGAAATTTCGCCTATCAAAATTATTAATTTTATAGACATTTTCAAGATGGTGCCGCCTCCGGAAACCTTGTTTATTATCTCGGAAGGGCAGAAAGTTCAACGCTCGAATCTTCCACAAATCTTGCTGTCTAGACTGGGCTGAGACGTCGTCCTGCTGGACAAGTTTAGCAAGCACTTTATTCCGCCAGCCGAAGGTCTGGCAGGCATCGCCGACAATTACAAAAAGGAACTGATAATAGGCTTCGAGACAACAACTCGGATGGTCATATCTTTTCGATTTCTGATGGCCATATCTTTTTCTCATGAGAAGAGAGAGGTTTTTCAAATAAGAAAACAATGTTTGACCTTGCTTGGAAAACAGGATATTTTCCATTTCGGCCACATTTTATAAGATCTGGACGCATTTTTTTGTATGGCCAAATATTCCTTTCAATTAGGGCACGTTTATTTGTCTTGGCCATATTTTTCTTCTTGGTAGAATATTTTCCATTTGGCCCTATTTTTTAATATTTGGTCATATTTTTTTCAAAGGAATTTTAAAATTTGGCCCAAAATTAAAGAAGTTATAACCAATTCAAGCCACAAAATTAGTACCCCCTGTACAAGCCAATCCGTAAAGTCGGTGGAGTGATTTTGGCGACATGCACTGTGCATAAAAAGTCAGGGCGAGCGACAGCCCAGAGAGCCTTCACACTAAATTTTTTTACACACAGTGCATGTCGCGAAAATCACTTAACTTTACGAAAGTATATATATAATATATCTGTATATATCTTGGAAGAAGTGTCCCGAACTCCGAGCACCACGCTTCCATTTTTTGTTTTACTTTGTTACCCGTATTTTACTCCTCCCCTTCTCATCAATTTCGCAGCGGATGTTCATCCCGTTTTAGGGTCGAGTGCTCGTTGCGCGTTACGGAAATGTTGCTCCGTTTACCCTTCGATTATTTTAGGGATGCGTGGATGAAAAAGAAAACAGAAGGATGCTCAACTTCCTCCGAAAACCGCCCGATCCCAAGGAAGAGGACCGGCGTGTGCAGGTGTTTGCACTGATCCTGATCGTCAATTTGCTGATTATCGGCGTGTGTTTGGTTGTCTGGAATGGAAATGCTATCAGTAATGTAAGTCAGGGTGGGTTCGGGGTTGGGACAACCCACGTCAAAATGAGATAAGCTAAAACGGTCCGGTGAACGGATTTGCAATTCGCCAAAAAAGACGCGAAAAAACTTTTGGTCGGAGAAGAAATGGGGAATTTTTGGGGCGAGAGAGTACGTTTTTGCGTGTGTTTTTTCTCTCTTTCTCTGCGAAATCAAGACTAAGTGTAAAAAACCGATAGCGAAGAGTCTATTCCGGTCACCGGACTCCACAGTTCGACGTGCAACCTTTTTGCAATTTTTTTGGTTTGAAAAAACGTATTATATAAAAGAGATCGATAAAGTCAAGGGAATATGTTAGGGTGCTTTTAGATAAAGGTGTGACGTTCGGATTTTCAATAAGACAGCATAAAATGAAAGCTATTTTTTCTGAAGCACATGAGATTTTCTTTGCTCGCGCATTGCAGAGAATGCCATTTTTTAGGCCAAAAGTTGGAAAAATGTCAAGTTTTTTGGGAATTTTGGCATCCATAAATTTTCACACGTTTTTTCTACTGTAGAAAATAATATTTCCACAAAAAAATCAATTTTTGCCACCCGAAACTGGCAAAGATATGGCCAAAAGTGTTTTTTTTTTCAATCCATCTTTTCGTGCTTTTTCTCTTCGAAAGTAATCTCTGAAATCCTCGGCTGTTCCTGCAACGCGCGATATACAAATTTCGATTTTTTGGCAAGTTAAAATATTGTAAAGCTTTTAAGAATTGATACGCTGACCAGGCCCGACACCAAGAAAATCTTTACACCTGGCTTGGAGACCCTTGTAAATTCTCGGTCTAAAAACCAAACTTTTTTCTATCCTCTTATCCTTTTGTGACTTTGTGCCAAGTCTGATAAAAATCTCAATATCGACCTTGAGAATCTTCTTTACGAACTTTCAATTTCTTTTTCTTCATACCCGATTTTCAGGTAAATATAACCTGTGCCATACTGGTGATAGCCGCCCTTTCCGGCCTCTGCATGTTATGCTGCATGTCCTGTCTTTTATTCTGTGTGGTTACCAAAGAGGAGGCGGATCGAAAATTGGATGTGCAAACGGTTTATCCAACCCCTGAGTTCACATATTTCAATGGGACAATGTTGAGTCGGCTGAATGAAGAGAATGGAAAAAATGCGGCTTTCCCGGGATCAGGTAGGTCAAAACTTGAGGAAATAATGAGTTTTGCTTGTTGTTGCAATGAAATTTAGGGTATGGACGGACGTTTCGGCGATTTGACGAAATGTCACAAAATTTATTGGAAAAATTTTAGTTGTTTTCTTGTCAAAATTTTTGTTTAGTAGTTCAAGCAGAATCGTAAATTGATTGAAATTGTATATCTGCCGGATGTCTTTCTTTTGACAAAATGTCACAAGATTTATTTTCATTTTTTTTCTATTTTTTGGTTGAAATATCTGTTCGGAAGCTCAAACAGGACTGTATTCTGGTCGAAATCGTATGTTCCCAGCCATTTAGATGTCTGACAAAGTGTCCAAAGATTTCTTGCAAACCACTTTTCGAAGGAAACATCCCTTTACGAAAGCTTGACGAAGTGTCACAAAAATTATTGGAGATTTGTAGGCGACTGATTCTTACTGAAAGACTGATCGCCAACCGATTTTACCGACAATCAGTTTTCGCTTAAAATCCATTATCTACTGCTTTTCCATAAACTGGACGAAATGTCACAAAAATTATTGGAAATTTTGTTGTACAATTTTTACTTCCAGTCATTGCTGTCCAAAAACAGGTTGAATCTTACTCCAAGACAATTTTCTCAGAAGTTCTAAGCCTTGCAATTCCCGAAAAAGCTGCGTTTGATAAATTTTGTTCATGATTTATTTTCCAGTTTTCTCCATGCTCTCAACTGCTCCGGCGGACTCCCCAGCGAAGACGCAGAGTCTGGAAACCGTCTCTTCTTCACATTCCAGCCATTGGCCTAGACCAAAGCCGCCAGTCGCATTAAGTGCCAACCATTCAAACGAATCCGACTACCTTCGGCTTTACTAGCAGTGTAATTAGTGTACAAGAAGTTCCATGTAATATTCCTTCCTCTTTCATTCGATTTTTTCTATTCCTCATATGTTATTTCGCCTAATATTGTAATTTTTTGTCCTTACTTTCCCAAAAAATCTCGTTTTTGGTCTTATCCCACATTTTTTTTTTGTATAACGTAATGACCCCACCGTAATGTACATCAAATCTCAATGTATTCCGAATGCCAAGTAAACAGTTGTACGATCTGCAATTAGTCCCGCGACTCAGATAAAACCTCTCATTTATTTACATGCATAATAAAACAACAACAAGGAGGAAGGAGGCCTAGTTCGAGATTCCTAATTTGATACATTTTTCAGCAAGAGATATTGATCGTCAAGTTGCCCGTATTGTTTGTCAAGTGTTGGTTGGCCCGCCGTTTCAGGCCAATGAGGTCTCGGTACATACACAGCTGAAAATGAGGAGCTTATGAAACGGATGAAATGATGACATTTTGAGAGTTTGTTTTTACATCGAAAAGAAACAACAGAAATTTTGATGACAATAGTCAAAGTTTATATTATATATATTTTTTTTATGCCAGACTGTCGGGAAAATAATGCGTAAAATTTCGCTGCGCTAGTCGCGTCGCTGAAGTGAATAGCTATTTGATTTTGCCACGACACAATTCATTTTTTCGGCGATGCGATTTTTGATGCGGCCGAGTGCTCATTATTTTCCCGACCAACTGATAAACCATTGTTTTTTAAAGAATCTCCAGTATTTTGAAGCGACAGAGTGCCCATTATTTTCCCGACGGACTGATAACAGAATGATTTATACCAAAAAAGGCAAGGATTCTACCAAGCGACATGCTTCAACTGCAACGTTCAGATTTTGATAAAAATTGGCACAAATTTCAAATTATTGTATTCTATAGGAGAACACAATAATTTGAAATCATATGTCAGATTCCCAGCCCGCCTTTTTTACAAACGACCAAGATTTTTAGGTTAAAAGTTGAGAAAAATGTGGACTTTCTTGCGGTTTTTTGGCATGAAAAGATTTTTTGTCCCAATTTCTGCCGAAAAAGGTAATGTTTCCACAAAAAATCGATTTTTACTATGCAAGAAAAATAAAATAGTAATCAATTTTTACTATGCAAAAATATGGCAAACGTTTTTCTCTGAATACTGTCCGCGTTTAGCGTACACTCTCGGCTACAATACCTGTTGAATATCTTGGCTGAACAAGCCGTGTTTGACAACTTGAAATATCGGTTTCTCTCCCAAAACGCTGACTGGAATTCTTTAATAAAAGTCGCTGTTTTATGCCTAGTTTCATTGAAATCAAAGCGCTGTACCCACAGCGACTCATCTGTTGAGTGTTTAAGTTCAAACTTACATTTGGGATTCCCTGCGCGCAGTAGAGTCGATGGAGCCATTCGTATGTCTTGTCAGCTCCACCGTCACGGTCTCAGTGTTGGTTTGAGTGCGTCGAGTTGAGCGATTCTTACTTCTGAAGCTGCAAACAGCATCATAACACATTCAATCATATCTACACATCAGTAGCTCCAACAACTCCTAACCCGTCACAATTTACCGCTAAAAGCCGAGTCAAACCCAAAATCTCACCTTGATTTGTAGTTGCTGTGCAACAATCGCACGAACACCGCCAATATCGGGAACTGCAGCATGTAGAGCCCGTAGAGGAAGGCGTCCGCGTACAAATACATTATTGCCATGTCTCCATTCTTGCCGCGGAGGCCGGTGAACTCATCCACGACCTGCAGCACATAATTTGGCATGTTCAAAAGAAGTTGAGTGGTCGCCAACACAAGGCATCGGCGAATTGCTTGTCGTCGACGTCGATGTGCGGCTTTCATCCCTTCTTCGGATTGGATTTTGATGGAGACCGGGATACTGCTCATCCGCGATTTGGCCGCGACTGATTGCGTAGAGATCGTGGTGAACCTGGAAGGCGGATTTAAAGTATAATATAATAGGGACCATGGTATAACTAGAGGTGGCAATCAGGCCGGGCCGGGCCGATTTTTGCAGCCCGGCCCGCGGGCCGAAGTGACCAGGCCGGCCCAGGGCTTTTTCAAATTTGCTCAGGCCCGGCCCGGCCCGGCCCGGCCCGGCCCGGCCCGGCCCGGTGAAAGCCCAGGCCGGCCCGGCCCGGCCCGGTTTGGCCCGCTAATACAGAAAAGTTGGATAAAAGTCTTTGCACTTTCTAAATATTGGAAGTTGTTATGCTTTCCAGAAGGTTTTTACGTGTGTCTGCGTGAAATTAAAAAGTCTAGTCGGATGACTGGAACATCCGTATAGGTAGCTAAAACCTAGCCAAAAAGTTGGATTGTGTTGAATTTTTTAATCCTATAGGAAGTTAGCTATATAAAAGTATGGACGTTATAAGGTACATGGTTAACCAAAAACTGTTTAAACACTTTGATTTACATCAAATTCTACAAAGCATTTGTGCTTTATTTTGCTGGTTTAGCATTAAAAATTTTTTACTTATCTACTTTCCGGGCCGGGCCGGGCCGAAAGTGTCGGCCCGGCCGATGGGCCGAAGCGGTCAGGCCGGCCCAGGGCTTTTTCAAATCTGCTCAGGCCCGGCCCAGCCCGATTGCCACCTCTAGGTATAACTAGGCAACTTTTATCTCATTACTGGGTGTTTTTATGTCGAGATTTAGTTGTCTTTTATCTTTTTGCTCCGTCTACAGACCTCTGAATACCTGAACAAGTCAGAGTTTTTTCCTAAAATTTTAGACTTGATTTCAGGGGCGTAGCTGATCAAAGATTATGTGGGGAAGGTCGCCTGGTGGGAGGAGCAAAAAACGTACTATTTTGCATCTGGGAGGTATCAAAAAATGTGGCAAAATACCTCCCTCTCCAAGTGGAAAAAACTCTGACTTCAAAAGCACGCCTCTTTTATTGAGGGAGCCCTTCAAAAATGAGTTTTTTTAGTTGGAGAGGGAGACATTTTGCCACATTTTTTGATACTTCCCGGATGCAAAATGGCGCGTTTTTTTGCCACTGGATCAGGTCCGTTTTTGTAGCTACGCCCCACGGCAACCCGAAATAGAAGAAAAATGTTTCTTGCCCACTTTTGAGTTTCGTCCAAACGAAGTGTCAAAATTGACAAAAGAAATAAAATAATTCAGATAAAAAACCTTTCGGCTGGAAAATCCCACGAAAAATTATTTTCTGACATTTCGTTTGATTTCATCCAATGCAAAATGGGCGCAGAGTCGAAAGGCACCAGGAAACACTTCGGGTTGCCGTGCGCCCCCGCTTGCCCTGACAGTCACGTCTACTATGCACAATAAAAAGTCTAATAAAGTCTAATCCCTCACCATTTACTTTCCCGCGTAAACATCAACACCGCAAAGTCCGTGAGAACAGTGATCACAAAAGGCACCAAATACGTCCAAAGACTTTCGGCCGCCGCAATCCATTTGTACAGCTCCGGATTGATGAGGGTCAGGTCGACCGAGCAATACGTCGCCTCCATGTTATCACCCGTACTTGGGATACGATGCTCCGTCATCACCATTGGAGCCCATATCTGGAAATGGGATTTTTTGAATCATTGAAATAAAAAAAAATTTTTTTTTTTGGTATTTGTTTGCAACTGAGATATCATTCTGTCGGAAAAATAATGTGGATTTGCCGCAGCCAGCCTCGGCAAGCCGTCGAAAAGTGATGCTGGACGATTTCGAGCCGCAACGAATCCACATTATTTTCCCGACAGACTGAAGTCTAAAATGTTTGCCGGCGAGAGAGCATGCAAAACAAGGAGGACGGTGAGAGATAAAACATACTTTTTTGGCCATAACTACGCTAGTTTTAATAGAAAAAAATTGATTTTTTTGTGGAAACATTACTATGTCGGCTAGAAATAGGCATGAGAATTTTCATGCCAAAATTCGGCAAAAAAATTGTTACATTTTTGTTAATTTCGACTTAAAAATCTCGGTTTTTTCTGCAAATTGTGAGCTAAAACTCTCACATAGCCCTTAGGAAAAGTTATTCTAAATTTTTGCCAAGTTTGATCAAAATCCGACCATCGCATTTTGAGCACTTCCCTTCCAAGAACGACTTACCTGTGTCATCAGCGACATTACTATTGTAAAGGTCAACAATTTCTTGGAGTCAGTCAGAAATAAAAGCCGTCCTTTTTTGGACCGATGAATCGAGAAGAAGATATGTGCGAAGCGTTGAGTGAACATCATGACCCATAACCAATTCACGCAACACATGGTTGCGTTCGTCAGGAACGCCGTCAGACGACACATGAAACTGCCTGGAAAATGCACGGGTCATGTTTTAAAAATTGATTGTATATATTGTTACATACGTATATTTTCTTTTTATGTCAAAAATTTTTTTGCTCTACTTTTTTTGAAATTTCAAAAAATCTTGAATAGCTAAAACACGAAATGCGGCAAAGAGAAAAATGATATGGCCGTAGGGCAAGTAAGGGACCGTGATTCGGATGCGATTGTGAAAATCCAGAAATTCCGTCATCTAGATGGTGAAAATTTTAAAAAAGTTTAAATTGGTGAATAATTTTTTTCGACCCGTCGAACGTGGGGGGGGGGGGGGGGAGGGTGGGTAAGGTACATGAAATTAAAAAAAACAGAGAAAAAAATCTTCGCCTTCTTGTAATTCAAAAAGTCTGAAAAGTCAACCGAAATGTTCAACGGCCTTTTTGGCTTAGAGAATGCACAAAATGCAGAGAGCGGTAAGAGAAAATGCCAATTTTTGGCTGTATCTCTGCCAGCTCCATGAGGGAAAGATTTATTTTTTGTGGAAACATTTCGTGGAAACAGAAATGAGCAAGACACTTTGTGTGTCAAAATTCTCAAAAAAACTTCACATTTTTCTCATCTTACGGCATAAAAATCTCGGTAGTTTTTGTAAAGTGCGAGCTAGAAATCTAGCATAAGTTTTAGAAAGGGTTTGTCTAATCTACCGTCAAGTTTCATCTAAATTAGAACTCAAAAATTTTTGATGAAAAAATGGGCCCAAAAATATCTCAAAAAATTGAAATTTTACGTTTTCAACCTTTTCAATTTTCAACCAACAAAAGGCCACTTCTCCTACCGTTCATGAATTTGTAGCTATCCGAGAACAGATTGCAAATCACGGTCGTCAAATTGATCAAGTCCAGGATGATCATGGGCGCCAAGAAATGGAAGTAATTGCTCTTCTTGTACTTTGTCAGCATCGTGTACAAAGCGTAGACCAACGTGGGCACCGTGAGCCCCGATATGACCAGAATCATCCACCACAGGAACTGCGAGACGCTGATCCAGAGCTGCAGCACGTATTGTTGCGCTTCGGCGTCCGCCACCTTGGCGGCCAGCGTCGCATTCAGCGCGAGAGTTCGATTCTCGTCCATTTTCGGGGAAAATTGTGTGAGATTGTGGAGTCGTGGACTCTTAATGCATGCTACGGGCGTGCTGAAAGTTATGAAATTTGGGGGTTTCGTAGGAAAAAATGTAATTACAATCTTCACGGATATTGGAAAATTTTTCGAAAAAAAGATCGTAAAAAATGCGAGATATTTGGCAAAGTAATATCAAGCTTTACACAGTAAGGTTATGGAGAATGCGATGAAAAATGTAATGCCAGAATAACGCTAAAGGTATTTGAAAATGATGATATTTAAAGCAGTGTGCTGGTCACAAGTTAAGGACTATTTGAGTGGATTTGCACCTGCAACGAAAAAACACTTTGAAAATGGCCAAAAGCGGAATGTAAAATACTATTAAAAACCTGACAGAGGAAGCACTTCAAGTGCGGAAACGAGCGAGATTTTGAGGTCAAAAGTTGGCAAAGGTGGGGTGGACTTTTTGCAAATTTTGGAATAAAAAATTTAGCACCTACTTCTATCGTCTAGGGCTAACAGGGGAAGTACTCCAACTGCGACGCTCAGATTTTCTTTAAATTTTGCACATAAATCGTGTATGGACTAAATATCAATTTCTGAAAGTTTTAGCTCGCGCTTTACGGGCGCCGCCGAGATATCGAGCGATTTTTGTCGCCGAGAGAGCACGCTAAACGTGGAGAGCGGTCAGAGAGAAAAGCGCTTTTTGGCCATAACTTTGGCAATTTCGTGCGGAAAAATTTGATTTTTTGTAGAAACGTTATCCTTTGCGATTAAAATAAGCATGAAACTTTTCGTGCCGAAATTCGGCAAAAACTCCAAAATTTTCGTTGACTTTCGATTTAAAAATCTTCGTTGTTTTTGCAAAGCGCGAGCTAGGATTCTCGCATATAAGAAAAAATTATTCAAAATTTGTGCCAAGTTTCATCAAAATCTGAGCGTCACACTTGGAGTACTTCTCCTGTAAGAAAGGTAGTTTTTAAAAACACTGGCCAAAACGTTCAGAGAGCTGGCTTTCACAAGCTGTCGTCACTCCGGCGTCATTTATTATGAGCAGTTTCATCCCGACTAATTATAACATCCCCAGAAAAAAGATCAATAAAATCTTTTTGAATGTCAAACCACCTCATTCTCAACGATCATAATGGATATATCCCCTAATTATAGGCTCTAAACATCCTCCAAAAAAAAGATTTCAAAGGGATAAGCCAGACGCCTTCGGGTTATATAATAAATCCTGGGATACGTATAAATGGGTTAGACATGAAGAATGAGAGGGTATTTTCATCAAAAATCTTGGTCAAGTTCATGAAAAAACCGTTCGAAGTCAAAACGGCGGGAAACAAACGGCACGGAACGAACGAAAAAACGCTCAGATTTTAATGAGACTTGGAAAAATAAAAATTCATATCTTCAACCAACCTTGTCCTCAACATGGTTTTATCTGTCTGTCGGGAAAATAATGAGTTATTCTGTCGTGGAGAAAATTGCATCGCCGCCGAGGAAATGAATTGCGTCGCGGTAAAATCAAATTTCTTTACAACTCAGCTCAGCGATTGGCGCTCAGAATTTTCCCGACGCACTCATAGAAGGATCGAAAATTCGAGTCTGCATAGTGCATACTATCCCGTGACCGTTCGCAGAGACTCGACCTGTCGCGGTAATATTTCCGCACGGTGTGGATATATCAAAACTGTTTGACCCATCTAACAACAGCAAATCTTTAATTTCTCCCAAATTTGACCGAAAATCTTGCTACAACTTTTTCCAAGTAAGGTTTCCTCCATAACACTAATCTGTGACAATTTATAAATATATATGTATAGTAGAATCTCCTCAGCTCGGGACCCATTAGTTTCGTCCTTCTAGCCTTAAGCCGTATAAATCAATCATATAAAATTGCCTTCAATTACGGCAAATAAATCCTCGATGCCTGCGGGGGAAAAGCCCCAGTTCTAGGAGTCATTTTAGCGGCGAAATCTTACAAGATGATAATTAAGTCCGCAAGTGGTTAATAACTAAGGCCCAGAGAAACAGAATGATATTTCTCTAACCCAAACTTAACTTCATTCTTGGCCATAAATGCTGTCGCAACATTACTATGGACATAAAAAACTACAAAGTGCAAGTTTCAACAAAAAGGTCGGAACGCCCTCAGGGCATCAAAAGAAAAAAGTGCAAAGTGGTACGTGGGAGATGAGTAATGAAGTAGTGTACAAGGAAGTAAGTCAAATCTACGAGACACTACATAATTCAACCGCAAATGACGGCGGAATTTCGAAATTTTTTAAAGACCAATACATAATCTATTACATATAACATGGCGGAATTGATGAAGGGATTATGTGTAGACTAAGACTGTTGTGAGGAAAACGGAAATGCCCAGGAATTTCGAGCCAAAGAACAGTTGAAATCAGTGGATAGAGTCATATACGCTAAATACGAACTTCCTAAAATGCGACGCTTACAATATCAGTATGTCGGGAAAATAATGAGACACTAAATTTTGAACGCATTTCCAGGCTCCCTAACCATTTTTCATGCATTCGAGCTTCTTGTTTTGAGAAACTTTTTTGCATTAAAAAAGCGTCTTTGTCTGTCTGTCGGGAAAATAATGAGCACTCGGCCGCATCGAAAATGGCATCGCCGCAGAGAAAATGAATTGTGGTTGCGGCAGAATCAAATTGCTTTTCATCAGCGACGGGATTGGCGCAGCGAAAATCCGTTCATTATTTTCCCGACAAACTGATATTTGATAGATCTTGACGGCATATGGCACCTATTCACATGCCAAAATTAGCAAAAAAAATCATTTCTTCCCAACTTTGGGCATAAAAATCTTGATCGCTTCGGTAAAGCGCAAACTATTATACGAAGGCTCGCAACTATGGAAAGAAAAAACAATCTACAGGGTGGTCCAGCTAAGTTCGCGGATGTAAAATGCTTATAACTTTTTATAGGATTGTTCAGTTTTTATGAGCAATAGCTCATTTTATTCCTTAGTAGTTGCCATTTTGTTTAAAAAAAAGATCATTAAAAATGATCAATCCTACGTCGAGTTATGACCCTTCAAAGTCAAACATGCTTTTTCAAGTAAATTTTTAAAAAAATTTAATTTTCAAAAATTTTTGAATTGCGGTGTCGCCGCTCGTTGGTACCGGGAAATGATGGTGAACAGAGCGATCCCAGCCAATTTTGCCAGTCTTGTTTTTCAACAAGACGGCGCGCCACCTCACTTTGCTATAGCGGTCCGTCAACTCCTTGACCAGGTTTTTCCAGGTCGTTGCCGGGGATCTGCGCGGCAACCAGCTCCAATTGCTTGGCCCCCGCGTTCACCTGATCTAACTCCGCTAGATTTCTCCATTTGGGGGTTCTTAAAACAGCGGATTTTCATCAGGGATTGGCGCCCAAAGACGTGGAATTGAAGCGCGTAATCGAAGAAGAGGTAGAACGAGTTCGCCAGGATGAACAAATGAGGCGCCAAATTATGGAAGAATACCAAAGACTGGCAAAATTGGGTCAATTTTGCACAGCTGGGATCGTTCTGTTCACCATCATTTCCCGGCAACAGCGAGCGGTGACACCGCAATTCAAAAATTTTTGAAAATTAAATTTTTTTAAAAATTTACGTGAAAAAGCATGTTTGACTTTGAAGGGTCATAACTCGACGTAGGATTGATCGTTTTTGACGATCTTTTTTTTAAACAAAATGGCAACTACTAAGGAATAAAATGAGCTATTGCTCATAAAAATTGAACAATCCTATAAAAAGTTATAAGCATTTTACATCCGCGAACTTAGCTGGACCACCCTGTAGATTTTTGCCAAGTTTCGTCAAAATCCGAGCGTCGCACTTTTAACGCTCCTCCTGTTAAATACAGGATATTAAAAAAACGTAGCGGAATCTCGGAGACTGTAACTTCCGGCGGAGACGGCGCATGAGTTTGCTTCTGGAATATGTGTTTTTAAGCGAGACTGTTTTTTGTCTATGAAATAACAAGATTTTCAAGTGCAAACCGAGGTCGCATCGACATTTCGCGCCAAGAAATGTCTAATTTTTTGTTAGTGTTAAAAGAGCAGAACAAAACATAGAAAAAAGTTGCAGGCACGGCCCAAATATTACTATGTCGGGAAATTAATCAGCACAATGTCGCTCGCGTCGCTGAAGTGAAAAGTAATTTGATTTTCTCGCGACACAAGCCATTTTCTCGGCAGCGATGCGATTTGTGATGCGACAGAGGGCTCATTATTTCCCCGACAGACCGATATTCAAGGCGAAGTGAAGTAATAATTTGTTCGAGCAGTATCTCGATACATAATTTATTGAGAATAATTTGCCGCAATAGCGCAACCTTTGCTAGTTTGGGAAACGATTCAACTTTACAACAACCTTTCTCAAACAATGCCAGGAGCGTATGAACCTCCGTACGGCGATAACCTCTCTTTCAGTCTGCCAGGAAAATAATGAGCAGTCTGTCGCAACGAAAATCGGATCGCCGTCGAGGAAATGAAATGTGTCGCGACTCGCGACAACATCAAATTGCTTCTCCCTTCAGTGACGCGATTGGCGCAACGACATTGTACTTATTAGCCTGTCGGGAAAATAGTGGCGGGTCATCGCAGCAAAATGCTCCGGCTCGTCGAAAAATGAATAATCGCCGAAAAAAATCGATGGATTTTGTGGACAAAATCTACAGCAGCAGAGCCTGTCTACAACAAACAGTGTCGTGCGTCTGTCGGGAAAATAATGAGCACAATTTTGATGCTCCAATCGAGTCGCTGAAGTGAAAAGCAATTTGATTTTGCCGCAACACAATTCATTTTCTCGGCGATGCGATGGAATTTTCCATGCGCCAGAGTGCTAATTATTTTCCCAACAGCCTGAAAGAGGGTACCGTTGTAAGGAGATTCACTCCAATTTTTGCGTGCAACGCCCACGACAACTTTACTTCATCGCGCGACGAACATAACAGCCCTGTCGATGCCCGTGCTCGCAGCGCCAGAAGCCGCAA